ATTTGCTTTTATTTTTAGAGACATGATCTCTCTTTGTAGTTCATGCTGGCCTTGAACTTATGATCCTCTTGTCTTAGTCTTTTGAGTGCTAGGATTACAGGTGTACATGCGACCATATTTATAATTTTACCAGTCAAAGATGTAAGCAACGAACCTATTACAAGTTAAATGTGTCTAAAGGTCAGAACAAACTCATTTGGAAATTAAGAGTATATCTAAGGAAATCAAACCAAGTAAAAGGAGGAACCACTGTCTCTGGAGAAACTGGGGGGAAAAGTCTTCTGGGCTGGGGCTATAGCTCTGTGGCATGGCACTTGCTTAGCATATCCAAGGTCCTGGGTTTGATCCCTAGGACTTCAAAAACAAAAATTTTACTCTCCTGACTCATTAAAGACTGTCACTAACAAAGCAGCTGCTTTAAAAAAACTTGACAGCATGAAGATGAGATTTAATCCCAGCACTCAGGAGGCAGAGGCAGGTGGAGCTCTGAGTTCAAGCCAGCCTCATCTAGAAAGGATAGCCAGGGCTACACAGGAAAACTTGTCTCAAACAAAGCAAAACAAACCAAAAAAATCCATAAAGCTGAGGAATGGCAATCAATCTAATTTCTTCTTGATGTCTTTGAGGAGCACTAAACCTAAAGAATAGCACGAAGTCTGTATCATAAGATAATTAAAGAAAAAAGGAGCATCCTGAACTTTCCCTATTGTGTTAATTCCTAAACAGTACTCATTTGGCTCTGCTTGGTGTGCTTTTTAAGGCTCCCGAAGAACTAGCATTACACTTTACCCAGACCAACAACTATGCACAAAAGTAGTTTAATATAAGCTGGGCATTGGTGGTGCACACCTTTAATTCCAGCACTTGGATCTCTGTGAGTTCCAGGCCAGCCTGGCCTACAGGGCAAGTTCCAGGCCAGCCTCCAAAACAATATGGAGAAATCCTGTCTCAAAAAAAAAAAAAAAAAAAAAAGTAGTTTAATATGCCACTCAGCAGAATCCTGTGTCCTCCCTCCTCAGATTTCAGAAATTCAGAGAATGGTTAATATTCTGAGAGGTATTTAGAGACACATATCCATCATAGGAGATTTCATCAATAAATTGGAGATTTGGATTTATTCTTTGGAAAAACAACTGACACAAAGTCAATTTCTGAAGGTCTGGAAACAGCTACTGTCTCTGCAACAATGTAGTAGATCTATTTGATTCCAATAACTGTCAGCACTTCTTACAACTCAAGGACTCCTTTCTCTCTTCAAGCTTTCCTAACCATACTACCTAAAAACACTGAAAGTTGTGAATAAGTTTTACCATATGACTTATACCGTAACAATCAATGTGGTCCCATGAAAACTGTCTTTATTATTCTGCATCAGGAAAAAATGTTTTCCATTATTTCTCATGTCTACGGAGGGACATGTTCTTAGGGATGTTTATATGGAATTGCTTGTGATAATCTCACTAACCATCTTAGCCTTCAAGGTTAACAATTTCCCCCACTATTTCTGGAGTTTTATCTTCCCTATTGTATTTATGATCCCCCTACAAGCCACCTCAAATGCTCACTGAAGAAGGAAAAGGCCCAGCAAAATCCTCAGCAGGTAAAGACATTTGCTGCCAAGCTTGACACCTTGAGCTTGATCCCCCACATGCTGTGGCACACACACATGTCCTCCCTCCATAAATTAATGTAGTAAAAAAATGCTTAAGGAGGGAATAAAATATACTTTAAAAAATTATTGTTGGTCAGGGGTTGGTGGCGCATGCCTTTAATCCCAGCACTTGGGAGGTAGAGGCCAGCCTGGCCTACAGAGTAAGTTCCAGGACAGGATCCAAAGCAATATAGAGAAAACTGTCTCAAAAAACTAAAAACAAACAAAAACCAAAACAAAAAATTAATGTTGCTATCTAATTTCTAAATATCTCTAGCTTCAATGATTCCAAATAGGCACTTATTAGGCAAACTAGGAAACTAAGGCACACAAGCTATTCACTTAAAAGAATACCAATTAATAGCAGTTGGCTTCTTGACCAACAACATTTCAAGTCTTAAATCAAACCAAAAAGCCCTGTGATATCCACAGTACTGGGACAGACACTCAAGGGCACACAACTGGCCATCATTATAGTTGAACAATAAGATACATATGCTTTTACACATGCTGTACCTCAAACAAAGCCAACAATAAATGAAAACTGGCAAGATAAGTACAGTAGGACCTGATCTTATTGAGAAGCACTGAAGTCACCTAAACTCTTTGGCCCTAGGAATGCCTCAATTCCAGAAGGGCCTCAGGAATGGGAATGATCCAAGAGTTACTTGGTTGAGTCAAGCTGGAATCCTCACGGGTGAAGGACTATACCATTTGAAAGAGGCCTTTTTCTCACACTATTCAGTACCATGCCAAGCTCTTTTCCACCCTAACCTTTCCCATAGTTTGTCACATTATCACCAAATGGAAGAGGTACAAAAGTGACCTAAGTCATAAGTCCAACTGAAATTCTCAGGGGGAATAAAAAAACCAAAACCAGATTACTTAAGAGTTTACAACATGACCTTGACTAGTACTTAACTGGTCCATTAACTAAATAAATACCTTTTATCATCATTAAGGGAAAGGCAATTAGTCATCATAATGCATTTTAATACAAGCATAACGTCAATGCCACACAATGAAGTTCAAAGAACAAGATTAATAACATGGAGACACACATACTAGCAAATGGAAACTTACAACAGGGTCTTCCCACACTCCAGGCAGACTTGCTTATTTTAGCTAATGGGAGTCTCTAAAGTCATTAGCGCTTGGCTTCCTAATAATACTCATTTGTGTTATTCCTCTCAGGAGAAGAAAGGAAAGGGGATATTGACTGCTTGTTGGCATTGGGCATTTCAGTTACTGGTTAGCCAGATTGGCAATTAACAATTGAGTACTATATGCAAGGTACAGAGTTAGATTCCACAGATAAAATGGTAAACAAGAGTTCTTGCCTCCAGGAGTTTACAATGTATAAAATATACAGTTAACAATGTATACACATTTTGTCTTATCAGTATTGGCTTGCAAGAATATAATAGTTACACTGAAAGAATGGAAAGGAACAATAAAAATACTCTCAAGTACCTGGATGAAAGGAGGTGGGTTTATGGTGAGAGATAAGAATCAGAGGGGTTATGCTATCAAGGTTTTCCTGTTCTTTCCCTTAACTCATCTGAGGTACTATGCTTAAGCATTTTGCTTGAAAGAACTCTGTGTATCTAAACTGTGCAGACTGCAGAAGGTCACTTCTTCAACAAAGTAGTCAGAGGTACAAGAGCACTAAAAACGAGGTCAACTGGATCCCTTAGAATCAAGAGACCTTCTATAACCGTTTAAAGGCACTATTGGTAGCAATCTTAATTTTGTGAGAAAACAAACTAAAGCACACAGTGATGACTTCTCTTCTAGACCTGTCTATTAATTAGTTTCCTGGAGGGGGTAGGTGGGAAGCCTTCTCAGGTGCCGGAACCTCGCCTGTTAACCTTGCTGCATTGAATTTAAACCAGCCCTGAAACCCAGCAAATACAGTAGGCATGGTTAACTTTGAAATGCCTTTATACAAGTGGGAAATATCTGTCCTGATTTTCATTGACTTCAGCAAGGTCACCTCTTTGCAAAGGTTCTTTGGTCTGCTGCTAATTGGGTGCCAGATAAGTGGAAAGTCAAGGAATGTTTGACAGAAAGCACGGGGATCTTAATTCCACCAACTGAGAGAGCTAGTTAGACTCAGCCCTACGTAGATCACCTTTTCCAAGAGCAGTAGAAGGGTGTCCTTTGGGCTCCAACCCACAGCACAATAGGTTGAACTTGTTCTGCTTCAGTACGTGCAGTAAAGAATGAGCAATCATTCCATACCACCTACCTCTTCAACCCACCCAAGCTGCTTTCTGGAGGGATGTCTAAATGATCTATTCACATGCCTGGGATCAACCTGCATCCATGACAGTGTCTACTGTCACCAACCCCTCAATTTTCCTTTCTCGTACACTTCCAAGCAACTGGAGGCGAAAATCATTTTGACTTTCAATTTCTTGCTTTTAGAGCCTTCAGCTGCATTACAATCTTTCCTCTTGCCTCTAACCTACCACGCAGCGTTGGTTAAACGGCCAACGCTCCCCAAGATGCCTTGAAAAAGCGCTGCCCGATTTCCCCACTTACTTAAGGGGAGATTTCCTGCACACCCTCAAGCCCTGGAGAGGTCACAGGGGTCAGCTGAGTCGTTCACCCACTCCCAAATCTCTTTCCCAAGGCTCTCCATGCAGGAAAAAGTCAGCCGCAAATGTAAGGCCTGGCCCCCTCGGGCTTCAAAAAGATCCAGGAGGACTCCGGTCGAGGGACAAAGAAAAGCGAGGTCAGAGCGGCCTCAGCTAGGCCCACGGCCGCTCACCGGCTACCCCCTACATCGTGTCAGTGGCCCCTGAGCACCCCAAACCTTAGCCCCAAGTCCCGAACTACCGGAGCCCGGGCCCGGGGCTTGCTCGCGCCCCTTCCGCGAGGGCCCCCGCCGCCACCCAGAGCCCCGCACCTTCTTGGGAGCCTTGGTGACTGTGGCCATGAAGGAGTACTTCTCAGCGTCCTCGATCTCCTTGGCCTGCTTCAGCTCCTCCCCGACACCGGGCAGCGGCATCGCGTCAGGCATCGACATCCCCCGGCCGGCCCGGCCCGCGGCTAACCCGCCGCCCCCGCCTCTTTCTCTCACGGGCGCCCGCCCGTCCGCGCGGCGCCCTCGGCCACGCGCTCGCCCGCCTTCCCGCCAGGCCCCGCGCCGAGCTGCTTGTGCTTCCGAAGGGCTGTGACCCGCGCGCCTGGTCTGCTCCGCCGTACAAGACGGCCGGACAGCGACGGCGGCTACAGAAGAACCAGAAGCAGCAGCGCGCAGCTCCGACCTGCCCGCGCAGCCACCTCCGCCGCACGCAAGCACGCACGCAAAGTAAGGGTAGAGGGCGGGGGCGCCACGTCAAGTACTGGCAGGCGCAAGGAGGGTGGGGAAGGAGGCGGAGAGGATTGGCGCAGTCTGGTGGCGTCACCACGCTGGGCCGGGCCGCAAGAACTGTCCTGCCTCCTTTCTTCCTCCGGGGTGGTGAGCTTCCTAGGGTGAGTTGTACCATGTGCGCCGCCAGGTGGTGCCATCAGCCCTGTTGAGCCATGTGTGGTTCCTATAAAGATGCCACAGGACTGAGCGGCCAGGAGACCTTGGGGAAGGGAGGTGGCCCGGGACGGGGGTGAGGCGGAGGGTGGAGGGTGGAGGGGAGGGCGTCCAAAGAGCGATGCTTGGGAGCATAGGCCAGAGCCCCACAAGACACGTCTTAGGGCCTTTCCTGGCACAGTCTTCTCACTCGGCCCACACCATGACTGGGCCCTTTGGACCAGAAGCCTATTTCCAAGGGACAGTGTTTGCTTTTTGACTTCATAGGGGGCAGAACAAGCTGAGAGCAGTCTGGTTTCTACACAACCCTTTATGACCTCCATCACTATCTCCTCCTGGGCCTTGTCTGTTTACAAGACCTTCAGGCTGCAGCGATGATGTGAAGAGGTCATTAAGATAGGGTTGATGGCTCAGAGGGTAGAGAAGGAAAGGCAGATTGAGAAAAAGCTCTGGCCAAATTGACCCTCCTGCTGCATGCCCTCTCTAGGCATTAGCCTCTCCCTGCTAGCTCTCCTCGCCGTGGGCAAGCAGTGCGTCCATGTAGCGCTCCCTCAGTTTCTGGAGTCTACTGTGTACAGTCCCTGTGGAAGGCCCTGTATGGCAGAAGTACCTGTGGCACATTTACGTTTTCCAAGAATTCATCCATTTGGAGAGGGAAAGCTTGTTTATAAGCTGGTGTCAGCTGAGGTAGTTTGTCCTTTGAACGTCATTCAAATGACATTGGCTCCAATTCCTATGTCCTGTGGAAAGTACAATGTTGTCCCCAGGATTTCTGTGAATTACTGAGGGGACTTAGGTCTTGATGGTCCTAATCTGAAATTTTATTCACTGTTCCAGTCTTATGACTGTTTCTTTAACCCTTGGTGCCACATCAGCCCGCTCTCTTTCCAACTCCCACCCCTAAACCACAAAAATGAGGCTATAATATGTAGCAGAACTTTTAATGAAGGTTTGTGGGTCACAGGGGAGAGGTTACATCACATAGCAAACAGTCTTCACATTGCTGAAATGTTCCGAAAAGTTATTCCAGCCATCTCATCACCTTGGGATTTCTCAATGGCCGTAATATCCCACAAAACTCTCTAGTATACTACACATCCAGCTGCCTCCAGTGACTCCCTTTTCATCCCTTTCCTTCACCCTTCTCTCTTCCGGGGACTCCGAGAAGCCAGATTCTTCTCCACTGTGCTCACAGTAAGTCTTCCCAGGGACCTTTCCCCTAAATTCCTCTCCCTGTCTACTCTTTTATATACAGCACCTCACCGAGTGGTGGTTTGCTTGTTTGTGATAGGGGTTCACTATGTAGGCCAGGCTGGCCTTGAACTTTTACCCTGTGCCATTATGCCTGGCCTTACCAGGTATATAAGAATCAACTCTATCAAGAAAAAGGTTGATCTTAAAAAGACATCATCTCTCTCTTCCCCACCCCATATTGGTTTATGTTCAAGGTTGAGGAAGGTGTGAAATAGTTACTTCTGGAGCCACTGAATTATTCCTATGAGAAGCCTGTGTCCTAACTACTCATACTCATAGCCATGTGGATGTTTGAAGAGGACCATCAAAGTGCCTGAAAGTACCCCTATGTCTTAAAATGTTAGGATTCTCTCATCTCTTCTGAGTGTTCATAATTGTCTATGGCTATTGGGCAGAGAGATGAAATCAGAACACTAGGCACAACCACACAGGGCCAGGTAGGCCTCTTTGTCTTTATAGCTTGGGGCCTGGAAACCACATCTGGCCCAATCAGGAGTGCTCATCTTTAGGTGTGTCTAAACTGTTATCAGAGCCCTTAGATTCACTAGTTTTTTTTAAAGATTTATTTATTATATATAATGTTCTGCCTGCATATATTCCTGCACACCCGAAGAGGGCACCAGATCTCATTACAGATGGTTGTGAGCCACCATGTGGTTGGTGGGAATTGAACTCAGGATCTCTGTAAGAGCAGCCAATGCTCTTAAACTCTGAGCCATCTCTCCAGCCCCCAGAAGAGTCTTTAGAATCAACTATGAACTCTAAATCCCATGAATAGAAAATATGTGTCTTGAGAACAAGCACTTATATATCTGTATTTTGGATTTGATTTTTTTTTTAACATTTACTGTCCAAGTTCTTTGCACTTTGTCTGTGCATTTTAGTCTCTAGGTTGTAAGCTTCCTAGAGATTGAAGAGTGTGTCTCTTATACTCCTCCAGGAGACAGGATTGTCCTAGTTCAGGTTCACAGAGCCAGTGCTGGTGTTAGAAGACAGAACCACACTTAGAGGGAACCACACTTATTGAGTGGGCCAAGATGGAGACCAGCCCGTGATCCCATTTACCTAAGTGCCTGACTGGAAAGGAGGCTGATGATTTGGCCTTAGGGGGCATGAGCAAGGATGCTTATTCTAAAGGTGGGAAGAGCACCCCTGTAATGCTGGAGGTGCTGGAGAGGCCGGAGGCCTCTGTGGTCCATTCAGGCCAAAGGTCTGGGCATTCCTGAAAACCAGCCACTGTAGAAGGCAGTGGCAGCTGCCATACCCCAAAGGTAGGCTGGAGATCAAAGTGTTTACCCAGTCAGGGAATGTGACAACATAACATCCATGAGAAACATTGCATGCTGCCTACCTCATGTGCAACCCCAAGACAGCATCACACGGTTCAACTGAAGAGACTGCTATTTCTGAATGCCAGGAAATGGCTTGTCTTTGCTCCCTCACCTGGCACTACTTTCATCATCAAGAAAGTTAGCTCCTCAGAACATCACAAGGCACGTAGACTACAGAACTATCCTTAGGCTAGTGTTTGTGACGAGGAGGGATCTAAGGGTAATGCTACTTGTTGTATGTGGTGGTAGAAAGTTTTCAGAAGGTCTGGAGATCAGAGGGGACCCTGCTCTAGAAAGGGGTGGCTCGAGGACAAAGGCGAATCAGAAGACCATCTTACTAAAAGTGTAATAGCATTGCAGTTCTTTCACGTGAACTTGTTATGATCAGTATACTAAGTTCGCCCCCAAATTCATGTTATTCTCTTATTCATAAAACATAGTCATACAGCGCATGGTGCTTCAGTCAGCGCCAGACACTATACAGCAGTGGATTATCATGGAGCCACTTGTAGCACACACTTGTAGTCCAAGTAGTCAGGAGGCTGAGGCAGGAGGATCGTCAAGAGTTTAAGACCATTCTGGGCTACAGAGTGAGTTTGAGGCTAGCCTGAGATACATAATGAGACCCCATTTCAACAACAAAACACTCTTGGTTAGATTTTTGTCTCCTTGAAACAAGCTGGAGTTATCTTGGAGAGGAACCTCATTGAGCAAATGCCTGCATCAGGTTGCATGTAGGCATGTCTGTGGGGACATTTCTTTATTAATGGTTGATATAGGACAGTCCAGTCCAGTGGAGCAGTCACACAACTAACTGAGCAGGAGGTCTTGGGTAGTATAAGAATTCTAGCTGAGCAAGTAATGGGGAGCAAGCCAGAAAGCAACACTAGTCCATGGCCTCTGCTTCAGTTCCTGCCTCCAGGTTCCTGTCTTGAGTTGTTTTATAATAGGCTGTGATTAGGACATGTAAGCTGAAATTCTTCTCTTCCCCAATTTTCTTTTTTTAAAAATAATTTATTTAACATTATTTTATGTGCATTGATGTGAAGGTATCAGATCCCCTGGAACTGGAGTTTCAGACAGTTGTGAACTGCCATGTGGGTGCTGGGAACTGAACCCAGATCCTCTGGAAGAGCAGCCAGTGCTCTTAATTGCTCAGCATTCTCTCTAGCTCCCCTCTGCCTTTCTTTTTGGTCATGTTCTTTATTACAGCAATATAAAGCAAACTGAGACAAAAGCCCCAAAACAAATGAAGATTACAATGGTATTGAAACATTCCTATAATCTTGTGGCAAAGCAGCTTATATAGTATTATTATAGTATTTTTAGCACCATGTGTTTCTTAAATGTTCATGCGATACTGATATAAACATACATTTTGGATATGTGTAAGTTTTAAAACACTTAACCATTGCACTACAGCTACCTGATATATTCAGCACAGAAACATGCTGTACAGACAGATGCAATGGGCGTACTATATAATTTATATATTGGGCTATATGACTACAGTTCATGAACATATACTGCATGGTGTTCAAACAGTGTAGAAAGAAGAGAGAAGCACAGAGAGAGAGAGAGAGAGAGAGAGAGAGAGAGAGAGAGGGAGGGAGGGAGGGAGGGAGGGAGGGAGGGAGGGAGGGAGGGAGGGAACATGCAATTCTCAGAATATAACATATAACACTAGGGTTAAGTTCTATGACAGTACTGAATGCTGAACATGTATGAGGAACAGTGCTAGATGTGTCTTGAAAGACTAATAAGTTGAGGCCCTGACCTTTAGCTGGGTGCAGGTACTGTGGGGCTCAGGAGATGAACAAAAAGGGGTTTCACAGGTAGAGATGCTACATGTGCTGCCTTGACAGTAAACAGTTGGATAAGGCTGAGAACAGAACCCAGACTGAAGCCACAGCCTTAGGAAAGGCAGGACAATTGAGATAGCTTGGCAAGCCATGGGAACTGTCACTGTTTTGGTGTGTTTAGGGCATCAGGTACAGTAGCACAGAGCAAAGACTGAAACTGGAAACATCTGATAGGGCCTCATGCACCATGTGTGAGTGGTGGTCATAATGACCAATAAGGAGAGTGGGAAGAAAAGCTCTCCTTCACGGAGAGGCTGATGAGATATGGGATCATCTTGAAACACATTGAGTTTAATGTGTTTGTGGAAAGCACTGTCCCTGAGTTTTAGGGAAACCTGGTTTTTGCCTCTGAACTCCCAGAGAGCCTGGCACCCTACCCAAGAAAGTCTATACTTATTCTGTAGGTCTTTTGCCTCTTGTCAGCCAGGCCCCGCTTTAAGTGTTCCATAACAGGGGTGATACTAGAAACCCTTTCTGCCCCCATCCTCTTTCTATTCTGGAAGAAAACTGTGTTGCATAGCTCTTTGAGGTACCATTGAAATGGTTATTGATGTGAAAGGTCCCCTTGGAGCAGAACTCCTGGTCACCATGGGCAGGAATGTTAGTATTCAGGTATCTATACTGGCTGGTCCTTGGGGGTTCTGACAGGATATGCCCTCAGCTGCAGGCACTGAGAGAACTCTGTGCACATTTACTACATTCCCTTTTAAAACGTCATGTCCCCATCCCAAGTCGCCTGCTGCCCCCCCCGCTTGTGCAGCTGTTATCCCCAGAGGCTGATTTCCCTTCTCCCCTTCCCCCTCTCCTCTTTTGCCATTCATTTTCCCCTAATAAAAACCCTCCACCCAAGCTCTGCCCCATGGTATCTTTCACACGCTGCTTTTTAAGATTACAATAAGGACCATATAAGAATCTTGCTTCCTGCTTCTCGTTGTGCTCTCTGTGGCCCCCTCAAACTCTGCTTCTTCCATTTCAGCAACTCTAGCAGGAATTCTTTCCCCTTCATAGCTCCCTCTCTGCTTACTGTGATAATCACATTTGTCATATGCATTAGGAAATTGTTATTACTAGTTATCATTTGAACATTATAGGGAAAACCTACAAAGAGAAAAAATTTTCATACATCTTTCTCAGTTGCTTCTTTTTAATTTACAGATGCTCATTTGTACATATCTGTGATTGGTAGGAGCCTGCCATTGTGGGTTCCGCTCTGTTTAAATCACAGTATTCCAAAAGCATATTACCATGCACATAGATGGCCTATATACTTGTCATTGTTTATGCTGCCCAAGCATGTCATCATATTCCTTATGAGTGTAACTGTTTTTCCTTTATTGGGCAGTTTGAGTCATTTACAATTCATTGCAATTGAATTTCATATTTGCTAGTGAGAAGTAGGAGTGGGTGTGATTGGCTTTCAAGCAAAAAAGACAAAGTTGGGTCACAGCACAGAGAAAGGGAACCAAATGTAAGTGGTTCTTGTCAGCAATGATAGTTGATCCAAAGGTGTTGGATCCAGTACCTTTTTACTTTAGGGCTTCTGAGATTCTGTGCTGGGGACTTGAGAATTTCTGATGGCTGTCTGGCTGACTGGCTGTCTGGCTGTCTGACTGTCTGGCTCCCTCTCCCTCTCCCTCTCCCTCTCCCTCTCCCTCTCCCTCTCCCTCTCCCCCTCCCCCTCCCTCCTCCCTCCCTCCCTCCCTCCCTCCCTCCCTCCCTCCCTCTCTCTCTCTCTCTCTCTCTCTCTCTCTCTCTCTCTCTCTCTCTCTCTCTCTCTCTCTCTGTATTGAACAGTTTACCATAATAGCAGAAATTGTGAAACTGGCCTTGGACTTCAGCCCCTGCCTGGTAAGTCATTTTAACAACTGTTGGCTTAGGACAGGAGATGTGCTAAGGATCCCATAGAAAACAGACCAGCCATAGTCCTGTCCTCATGGGGCTTAGGGTTAAGATCAGAACTTTGTCAGAAAATCTGGGTCCCCCAATATCTTTTCAGAGAGGTCAGATTCTCCTGTCTTTGTAGGTGCCCCATGCTGAGAAATGTTTCTAAGGAGGCTTTCAAAGGTTGGAAGGGAACAGCAGCCTAACTCAAGATCTCAAAGATCCTTGCCCATCCTTGAAGTTGGTATGAGTTGTTAAAGAAGCTTCTGGAGGTGTCTATATAGATGTCCCCTCTCCTAGGATGATGGCGAGTTGGCTAGTAGGGTGGAAGCACCAGCTTGACAGGATCAGGGACTGTCTGTCTGTGTCCCCCACAGTCTTGACAGGATCAGGGGCTGTCTGTCTGTGCCCACCACAGTCTTGACAGGATCAGGGGCTGTCTCCCCCTCTGCCTGCTACATGTCCCTAAGACTGAAAGGGGTCTTGGAGTCAAAATAGAGAATGGCTGGCTAGACCAGTTAGGTGCTCTGATAGGTATGCTCTGGAACATATGAAGGAGGGATAATAGAAAGCTTTGCTTGACTGGGAAGGCTCAGAGGCTGGATGGAATAGCAATTACCCAGAGCTCAAGCAGATAGGGTCTTTTTTACCTGCAAGGTCCCTGTGGCTGGTTTGTTGGGACCAGAGGAGAGTGGTGGTACAGAGGCTGCTGCTAGGTGGGAGTCAGCCTTCCTTACCCTCTCTGGTGTGCAGGGCGGGCCCCATTGCATCACCCTTGGAGCCTCTGTTCCTGGCTTTGCAGCCAGCTGGGCCCCTAGAGGAGGGACTATCCCTGTTTTCCAACAAACCATTAACTATTTCACCCTCCTAACTCTCATTATATCAGTCTGGATTTCCAATATTAGCCTTCATACCTCTCTGACCTGCTGGTGATAATCCTCTTGGTGCCCCATAATGACCAAAAGCTCTGCCTGTGCAGCTTTTGAACAATTGTAGGCTCCATCATACCAATGTAAGCCTGGTCTCTTCCCTGGGAGAAGAGTTAACCTCCCTCATCCCCACCCTCATAATTTGTCCCATTCTGCAGTGGTGAGAACAGAGCTCCCAGACCTCCAGAATGAGCTCATGCCACTTGCACACTCCAGAGTCCCGACAAAGGGTCAACAACATTTTGGGCTAAGAGCAAGTATATAACTCAAGCCAGAGACCAGGAGCTTGGATACTGGCCTTTGCCTAAAATCCCTCCAACCATTTTTGATAGATGTGTTCGGGCCTTTGATTTATTTTGTTGGGTCATAGGGAAGGGACAGAAAAAGTAAGGTCCCTAAAAGGTTTAAGGGTCATCTTGAAGACAGTCCTGAGGACACAGTGTTTCCTTGTTCCTGTAGGGGCTAGACAAGGAGGATTAAGACTTTGGAGGCTGTTCCAAGCATTGAAGTCCAGATCACATTCATGATCAGAACTCTTATCTCCCATTCCCAGCATTCCCTTCATTACCCCACCCATTCCAGGGCCTGAAATAGCCTGGAACTGGATCCAAACCTAGGCCTAGGTCCCAATTTTAGTTTCATAAACATTTGGCCGATTATAACTCCCAGAATCGTGAGTTGAGTCCTGTGGGAGAATGCACAGATAAATGAAGCACAGCCCCTGCCTTCAGGGAGCTTGCAAAATGTACCCAGATGATGCTCACTGCTATTAGATGCCCACTGAAGAGGAAAGAAAGATGGTTTCCCATAGGAGAAATAAAGGCAGCCTTGTGAAAGGGAGTCATTCTGTGAATCTTAAGGAATGAATAGGACTTGAAAAGGCTGTGAAGCACACCCATGCTGGATGGAAAGAATAGCAAGGGTAGTGCCAATTTCATGGAAGTGCCAATTTATGATTTGTCTAGGAACACATCAATAATATCTGGTTTGACCGAAACGCATGGGAGACTATGAGCTGCTTATACCTTCTGTGGATGTGTGCCTGTCTAGGTTGTATGTAGACTGAGTACTGCAAAGTGACAAAGACCTTTTGATACACAGAGCTTTGCATATCGGAAGATGAAGGATCAGGGGTGGGGGCGAGGAAACTTTCTCTGAGCTATAAAGCATGTTTGAGAGGGAGCAAGGGCCAGACGAAGATTATCTTGCCCTTTCTGCCTTGGTTCAACTCAGGTTCTGTAGTCTAGGGGCTTAGGCCACAGGGTTGGCTGACCCAGTAGACCTTGCCACTCATTAGGGGCCAAGAAGACATCAGAAGTGAACAATCAGTGATCATAGATGGACACCGAATCAGAGTGTTTGTCATGGCGTGACATGTAGCAAGGAATGAATAGCTTCATGACAGTTGGAGGGAAAGAAATGGTCATATTCTTATTTTATTTTATTTTATTTCTTTTGGTTTTTCGAGATAGGGTTTCTCTGTATTGTTTTGGAGGCTGTCCTGGACTCTCACTCTGTAGACCAGGCTGGCCTCGAACTCACAGAGATCTGCCTGGTTCCAAACCAGATTCACAGTTAGTTAGAGGTCTAATAGAATTATTAAGGGATCTTCCCCATGACTCATTTGATTTTTCTAAGAGTAAACTAGAGCAAATCCCTAAGCAGGCAAATTAAAGTAGAACTGGAAGCTAATTCTGATTTGGAGGCACTTGGTCAGTTAATGACTGCTTCATGGCTACATGTGGGATGCTGGTTTTTCCTCTTTGTGGGCAGTGCTTTACCAGGTAGGCTGCTGAGCTGCCCTTGCCCAGTGGCTAGCCACTTGAAAAATCTTTCTTCCAGTTTCTCACATCCATCTGCATACAAGGTTTTGCCAGCTTCAGGGAGGAGAAAGGGACCCATCTGGGTGTCAATGTCTGCTATCCTCGTAGGTCACTCATGATCTCCAACCCTCTCCCCAAGTGCTAGAAGCTACTGCCCTGGGTGAGCCAACTTCCCAACTAAAAAGTCACCTCTCAACCTCTTTAACCTACCACACTTGAAGTCCTGGCCTCTCTTGGGAGGATGTGGGGAAAATATTTCACATTCCTTTCTGAAGAGTCCACAGCCAAGAAAACCAGATATGGTTGATTTCTCAATCAGGTTTTTCTACCACAATACGTATGTAATTAACCACTCTGTTACACTTCCAAAAGCAAAATTCAAGTGACTAAAAATTTGTGACAGGTGACATTGTGCAGTCAGATAGAAGGGTAATTAGTGACATGTGTAATAATTTTACTACCTGAAAATTTTAACTTTTAAAACAGCATCACAGTGTAGCCTACATTTTGAGTAAACATAAAATTACATGTTTATATAAAGGAAAATCAAGAACTAAAAGGTAAAAATAAAAATACTAGTCTTCTCTGATGAGATTACAGGTCACACATTTTTCTCATGTTTTGCTTTTTTCCATATTCTAGAAATTTCTGCAATGAGTGTGCATGACCTCTTTTTGGTAAGTAAAAAGCTTAACTTATTTACTTATCTCTCACTCTATTGAATAGACAGTAGTACTCTACAGTGGGTCAAGTGAACAGCTAACTTTCTGTCCAGGGTTTCCTTGTGGAGGTTTCTCCTTTTTCTGCTTTCCTCTGTCTCAGCTGACGACTTGGACCAGCCTTACCCTGAAGGGACCAACCACAGGCCATGCTGTTCCTTGTTATTCAATTTATTTATTTGCTTGTTTGTTTTGTGGTGGTGGTAGTAGCGGTTTTTTTGTTTTTGTTTTTTTTTTTTTGTGAGGTAGGTTTTGAGATTAGGCCTTTTAAAATAGTATAGACTTGCCTTAAACTCATGGCAATCCCACTTCAGCCTTTCAAGTATTGGGATTACTAGCATATGCTGCATTTTGTATTTTTCTGGAGAAAAAGGAAACAGGTAGGTCTGGAGCTTCTTGGAACTCTTCACAGTTATGAAATGCTTGGTAGTCTTGGCTGTCTTGGTTTGTAGATTTTGGCATAGGTGTGGCAGCAAAACAGAAGAAAAACCGATTGATAATGATGCTGTAGGAAAATGTAAACATACGTGGCATCAGCCATTGACACATGTGTCATCTGGGAAAAGTCTGTTTCCGTTGAGAATATATGACTCCATCTTGTGTTTTAGCTTCAGAAGCAAATAATAAAGCCACATCCAGTTCACAGACCAGCAAATGCCACCAACCCAGAATCCAAACATATTATCTGAGATACTTGCAGAATCCTTGTCATCAATCATATTTTTTTTTGGCAATACAAGTTGGAAAGTAAACACCAAAAAGTAGTGCCATTTAAAAAAGCAAAGAATGCAATATTTCCATATAGAGCTCCTAAAACAAGTCCAGGAAATACATGCTGGAAACTATAAAACATTGATAGAAAAAAATCACATAAGATCCAACTATCATGCTGGAGATTTGAAGACCCAATAGATTTGTCTCCAAATTGCTAACTAAATTGAACTTTGTTGTATTAGTCACTGTTCTGTTACTGTGAAGATACTATGAAGAAGGCAACTCTTACAAAAGGAAGCAGTTAGTTAGGGGCTTGCTCACAGTTTCAGGGGTTTAGTCTATTATTATCATGGCAGGGAGCTTGGCCCCACACATGGCACTAGAGCAAATAGCTGACTGAGAGCTGCGTCCTGATCTGCAAGACTCAGGAGGAGTGATAACTGGGCCTGGCATGGGTTTTAGAAGCCTGAAAGCCCATCCCTAGTGACACAGTTCCTCCAATAAGACCACACCTACTCCAACAAGGCGATACCTCCTAGTCCTTCTCAAATAGTGCCACTCTCTGATGACTAAACATTCAAATATATGAACCTATGAGGGCCATTCTTATTCAAACCACTATAGTTGTTTCAATCAAAACCCTTTAAAAGACCAACTCAACCTAAAATATGTGCAGATGCACTTAAAATTGAGAATATCTGTGTTCTGTCTGTTTTAATGCCACACCCAAATCTACCAACCAGGCCAAAGATAAGAGCACTGCTTTTGCAGAGGATCTGAGTTTGTTTCCCAGCACCCAAACAGCACCCAGCAGCTTACAACAACCTGTAATTCCAATTCTAGGGATTTGAAACCCTTCTCTGTCTCCCACAGGCTCTTACTAAAGTGTGCTACACATAAATGCACACAGGCACACATACATACGAACAGATACATCTTTCTAAAAAATATGTGAAGAATTCTCAAAATTAGACAGCAGGAAAGAAAATAATCCCATCAAAACTGACTCAGAAATAAGCAGACATTTTACTAAAGAGGACTTGAAAAACAAAAATCTTCAACATCATTAGTCATTAGGAAAATACAAACTAAAACCTCGATGAGATAACGACACAAACATTAGAATGACTAAAATAAAATGTCAAACGATGACAAACATGCACTCATATACTAAAACCCACATACACTGCTCATGGGTGCACAAACATGGCTCAGCTACTGGAAACATTGTATAACTTCTTAATAAATAAAACATACAATATAACCTAGCAATTGCATTTGCAGGTAACTATCCCAGACAAATGAAAATTTATATTCATACAAAAACCTGTACAAGAACATAACAGATCTATTCATAATTGCCCAAACTGATACAATCCAAATGTTCTTCAGAATGTAAGTGGATAAACAAATTGACTCATCCATGTATTAAGGAGGAGTAAACCATTGACACATGAAATAACTTTGATGTATCCCCAAGGCATTCAGCTGAGCACAAGAAGCCAGTTTTAAAAGTTGCATAATGTCTGATATGACATTCTCTGGTGACAGAGACCATATCAGTTTCTGTCAAGTGTTAGAGATAGGGAGAAATGTAATTAAAGGGAAGGTGTGAAGAAATCCTGGGAGTGATGACAATGTTCTATATAGTGATTATGATGATGGCTACACAAATCACATAATTATTCACATACATATCAATTGGACTTAATGCTACATTTAAAGATTCATTTTCAGAACAGCTTTTGGGTCACAGAAAAATGGAACAGGAGCAGGAGAAATTGCTCAGTGGGTAAGAGCACTTGCTGCCAAGCCTGACAACCTGAGTTTAATCCTCCAAACCCACGCAGTGGAAGAGAAAACCAACTCACACATTAGTGGATTGTGGTGCCCGACAACTGGAGAAGACAAGGAGACAAGGAGATTTCTTATAAAGCTGCCACCCTCCAGTATGCAGCCTCTTCATCTATGACCCACCAGAGTGGTACATTTTTTCTAGTTGTTTTGAATATAAAATGTCTCCCACAAGTTCATGTGTTGGGCACCAGCAGGTCAACCCACTTTGGAAGGTTCTGGAAATGTCAGGAAGTAAGTCCTAACTAGAAGATATATATCACTGGGGGTGGGAGTCCTTAGGTGAAGTGTTGACCTTTCTCTGCTTCCTCCATAAGGTAAGGTGGTGCTGCCGCATGCTTCTCCAGCCTTCTGAAACCATGTGTTAATATAAGTCTTTCTTCTTGCAAGGCATCTCTGTTCTTTCAGTTGTTTCTGTCACATGAATGAGAAGAGCAACTAGTACAGTGAACCCATGTTAGCATACCACTATCATTTTAGATCTACAATTTAAATTAGGACTCACTTTTGGTGCTTTATATGGGTTTTCAAAAAATGCATGGTGACATGTATATGCCATCTTAGTATCATACAGAACACATTCCTTGCCCCCCGAAAGTTTTGTATTTTCCCCAAATGCCACTTCTGTTAAGCCCTTTATTTCATATAGGCTTTGTAGTTTTCCTCATTTAGATTTTACACATATTTTATTATATTTGTACCAAAGTATTTGTTCTGAAAGAAGCAAGAGAAAATGGAATTGTTCTGTGTTTCACATTCACTTTTCATTGCCTGTGTATGGAAAGCCACTGACTTTTACATAGCCTTGTATCCTGCAACTTTACTATAACCACTTACTACTTCCTTTCATAGTTTTGTACACAATTGTGCCAACTGTGAACAAAGATGGCTTCCCTTTCTCCTTCCTAATATAGATACCTTTTTTTCTTGTTTTTTTCATTAGCTAGCACTAACTTCTAGACCCTCACTTTAACATTATGAGAAAGTTCGCCTTTATTTTTTTATGTTCAGATTTTACCAATAATAAAGATGTGTTGAATTTTGTCTGCAAATATTGACATAATTGCTATTTTTTAGCCTACTTGTGTAGTTGGCTGCTTCTTGAATCAGCTGTTAGCTTTGTATGCTGAGCCAGCCTCGAGTACGTCTGAGTCCCACTTCACTGCGGCACACGATTCTTTCCATGCACTGTAGGATTCAACTTATCCATTTTTGTTGAAGATTTTTATATCTATGTTCAGGAGATGTGTTGGTTTGTAGTTTTTTTCTTGTAATACATTTGTATGGCTTGCACATTAGAGTATGCTGATCCTATAAAATTAGGTAAGAACATTTTCTTCACTTTTGTCTTCTAAAAGGGATTGCAGAGAGTTGATGAATTTTATTCTTTGAATGTTTGTAGCATCCATTATCTGACCTGAGGTTTTCTGTTTTGCAATATTTTTAATTATTGATTTAATTTGTTTCATAGACAGACTTATTCAGTTTTTCTTTTTCTTCCTATATGAGTTATAGAAGTCTGTGTTTTTCCAGTAATCAGTCCATTATATCCGGATTGTGAAATCTGTGAGCTTAGCCAGGCATGGTGGAACACACCTTTGATTCCAGCACACAAACCAAAAATCAAAACAAATAATTTGTGGGCATAGAGTTGTTCATATATTCTTTTATAACCATTTTACTAATCTGTGGGACTTATAATCATGTCACCTCTTTCATTTCTTCTATTTATTTGTACATTCTTTGTTTTCCCTCCCTTTTTCATTTCCCTCCCCCTTTCTCTTTTTTCTCTCTTTCCTATCTTTTTTCTGTGCCCCCCCCCACTGTTAACCAGACAATGAGTGTGTGAGTTTTATGGTCTTTTCAAACAACCAGCTCTTCATTTCATTGGTTTCTCCACGTTTTTTTTTTTTCTGTATTTAATTTCATTGACTAAGTCTTTCATTTTTACTATATCTCTTCATCTGCTTACTCTACGTTTAATTTGGTATTCTAGTTTCCCAGGGTGAAAACTTAGATTATCGTCTCAGTAAATTTAGGCTAAGCCAACTGAATGACTTAAAACAATGTATTTTGATTTTTCACAGTTTTGGAGACCGGGAAGTTCAAGGTCAGGATGTTAGCATTGCTGGGCTCTCCCGAGGATCCTCTTCTTGGCTTCCATTTGCTTTCCTTCTTGCAATAGTTTTCACATGGTGGAGGAAGCTCTGGCATCTCTCTTTTTAAGGACACCAATCATTGTGGATGCTTTACACTCATGACCTCATTTGAACTCTGTGTAGTCCTAAGATGACCTTAAATTTCTGATCCTCCTGCCTCTACTTCACAAATGATGGAATTACAGGTATTTGCTATTATACTTGGTTGATGTGGTGCCGATAATTGAACCC